AAGTTGATGGGACAACCTGGTCACACTTGAAGAACTTCTTTTGGCAATGTTCACATATATGGGGATTATGTAAACTAAAGCATTTTCTTAGGGAAGTTATGTCTAACCTACCTAGGGTTTTGCCCACAATTCTCTGGAAAGCCAAGGTATTATCCGAAGAATAGGAATTATAATATAGCTCCCCCAAGTTTCTCTAAAAATCAATCATGTTTTCAATTTAATTTTCTGTATTACATGGAAAGACAGCCTTCTATAAGACATGTGGTGGTAATACATGCTGCACTACAATGGTGGGATTCAAATTTTTTTTACTACCGGTTCTGTGGGCATGGCTTGGTGGGCGTGGCAAGGGAAGGATACTGTAAAACCTCCAGTCAGAGGGGGTATTTGCCAGTTCTCCGAACTACTCAAAATTTCCGCTACCGGTTCTCCAGAACTGGTCAGAACCTCTGAATACCACCTCTGCTGCAGTTGTATACAGTAAAACATATCTGAATATATGTGTTACCTCACCTGAGATAATTCTCTTCATGGAATTGACACAACTGAGGTTGTGACAGAGTCATGATTGGTGATAAAGTCTTAGTCTCATCTTGAAAAGCAGGATGAGACCAGTGTCCAGAAAAAGAGAACCCGTCCCAGCCACCAGATCATGATCCTTCATAATAAGCATCTTTAACTTTATTGGATTTAGTTTCAACTATTATCTTTCATTAATCCTATTATTGCTAGTAGACGGGCATTTACTAATACCTAAGCTAATACCTAAGGCAACATAGGGAAATAAAGACGGTCATTCAGATGAAAATTCTTGATGACCTCTCCCAATGTCAAAAAGCATTGGAAATGCAATGGAGTCTTGAGAGATTCCACTGTTTTGAGGAGCAAGTGGCACCAAGCGGTACCACGTGAGATCTTCATGAAAGAAGAAAATGGAACCATTGCAATGTACTGTATTCCCACTTCCCTCAAGTGATCCAGAAAACTATTATGGCCAAGCTTATTGAAAGTTACTAAGGAATCCAAGGCAACCAAGACATTCCCGCCGTCTCTCTAGCAGTCATTTGTTGAAGGTCATCTATGAGGTCAGATAATGTTTTCTCAGTCTCCTAGCCCCACTGTAAAACAGGTCTGAAGTAAATCTTAGCGTTTCTCAACCATGGCAAGTTTAAGATGTGTGGACTTCTACTTTCAGAACTTTAAACTCACCCAAATTGAGAAACGCTGATCTAGATATTTCCTGCAAGAACTCTTGAAGTTGATTACCCATTTCTCTCTTCAGATATGTATAACCGTTATTTCCTTTAAACAAGGAAATACCCTCCTATCTCTATGATGCATTATTGTTGTCTTCTAAATCAATTTTCACTACTCCTTACACAACGAGGTCACTCTTATCAGGCATGGATCTAAAAAATGGATGGCAAGCTAGTCCACCCCAAGCAATGCCATATCCTCAGGAATAATATACTGAAAATAATCCAATTTATGAGAATCATTGGACCCTCTCTTAGCTGACTCTGCAAAAAATACTTGTCAACTCGTCAACTCAAAAAGATTTTATCAGAAAACAGCTAATTTGAAAATCACATTAAGACATCGTTTCTGGGAGCTAAGAAGCTTGAATGAAACTGCTAATTTCCTAGCAAGGTTCTGCTAGAAACAAATGTGCTGATCAATACATGCATAATAAACTTGAAGTCCCAGGGCTGCATATAGCCTCCTCCAACAATTGATGTTTGTCCCTCAAGTCACCTCTAATCATTATTGCTGACAATTGGAGCAGCTCCCACCCCTTCCAAATTGCTAAACAAAGGGTCATCTATCCTTGCAATATGGCTTCCAAATTAACAGAAAGAGTTTGGAGACATTATATGACCTAGAGAAATAGGAATTAAGAAATAATTAAGAAATAAAATAATTAAGAAATAAGAAATAATTAAGAAATAAAATAGGAATTAAGAAATTCTTATTTCTTAATTCCTATTTCTCTAGGTCATAATCATCAGGCCAACCAGTGATGTGTTGCTGAAGTAGCACTTTGTTTAAACACTACTGTTCATTCTTTTCTTTTCCTTCTTCTTCTTCTTCTTCTTTTGTGGTGGAATCCTGAAGTTCCAGTCTGCACATCATGATAAATCTATTGCAGAGATGCAGTTTTTCCCAATTCCTCAAAAAAAATCATGGATCAGGGGAACATAAATATTTTTGTTTCATTCGTCTTTAGGTTTAATTTTAATTTTGCAGAGTTAATATAATCACCATAGAGTTATATTTTACATACTCCTACATATTAAAGGAACCTTAGGGGCCACATCCAAGGAATTTGGAGGCTGCATATAGCTCTAAGGCTTCAGATCATACAAATCTGTTTTATGCTACAAATAAGATGTAAATGCTCTTGCTTTATCATCTATATCAGCATTTCTCAACCTTGGCCACTTTAAGATGTTTGGACTTCGACCCCCCGAATGCCCCAGCCAGAATGCCCCAACCAGAATGCCCCATCTATGCTAGCTGAGGACTTCTGGGAGTTGAAGTCCACACTTCTTAAATTTGCCAAGGTTGAGAAACACTGAGCTATATCTTTGGGGAAGGATTTTTTTTTTAATCTCCTTACATGGAGAAAATGCTCTAATAAAAAAAATATCTGTTCCTTTCCAAGCTCTGGGAAAGCTTATCTGGTTGGGCAGAAGGGGGAGGAGTGTTTAAAAAAAACAAAAACCTAAACAGAATTAGACCTTAGTCGTAATGGACAGGACAGCACCAGGAAATCCAAGGCTGTAGGCCAGACCAGGAATTTGACAAAAATATCCTGGATATTTGCAAGGGCAATCCTTTTTAAACAGCTGCCAGGAAAACTTCATGAACATATCCACCAAGAGTTGAGTTTGATTAGAAGGATTTGTAATTCTTTTCCACTGTATTAACATTTTAACTGGATAACAAGTAAAGGTACGTAAAGGCTAAACTTTGGTGGTAATGGGCTGCACACAGCTTCCAAAACTTTAGGTTGCACACTTCTGCTCTAAAGCAAACTCTTTCCTCCTATCAGGTACATCTTGACTATTTTTTCATAGGAAAACGGTGTTCAAGTGTCCTTTCTATGCCCTGCAAAAGACCACATGTCTCAAATGCCAGAAGCATGTTTAATATTGGGAGAAAGTGTATCCCCCATTTATGTCCTGCCTTTGGTGCTCAGAGGCACTCTGCTTTGCAGCACAGTTCTAGCTAAAACAGACTGATCTCCTGACCTTACCGAGGGACGTGTGAAATAGCCAAAGTTTTTCACAGTTTGTCTTAGCATGGTGGGAACATGACATCTGTGGGAAGCGTATGCCAGGATCACAAGGCAAGCAAGCACATTGTGAGCGGCCGAGAGCAATGACACATCCATCCACCCAGGAAGCAGATGTGCTCCCACAAAGGGCGACAGCAACATCCATCAGCTGATCTAGAGCACCTGTACTATGTGCTGATGGCATGCACAGACTGTAAATGTGGATGTTAAACTGGAGCACATGGTCATTATGGATTCATGAATCTGGGCTGTTGCACAGTAGAATTTTGCGCCAAAATGTGCATTTCCACTTTGCCTTCCCCTTCCAAAATGATTGGGGAATCGGAATAAAAATGTTTTGAGATCCAACACAGGGTCCAAAGCGATCATGTTAACAGAGGTCTGGAAATGGGTCTATATAGAAGAATAATTCATCCATCTGATCCAGGCCATGAACCAGAGAGCAAGCACCTCGTAATAACTCCAGTAACTGAGTTAAAGCTGCATGCAATTGAAAGTCTTCCCAAAGTTCCATATCCCAAGCGCACCTAATGGGATGTTACAATGGTGCTTAAATTGGCACTCCCACTGCTTGATTTTTGCCATGGAGCCAAATGTTCAGCCATTTTCAGAAAAGGTGCATGACAAAATGAGGGCGGGAAGGGATTAGGAAGAAACTTATATAAACACAAGAGGCACTTCCCAGAAGGAAAAACATGGCTGGGTATAACTGGAATAGCTCACTAGCATTTTAGCAATTCAGCTAGAGCACCTGTGGTGTGAAAACCCAGGGGAAGCAATTGGACACCCAGTGCAGTGTTTTTTAACCTCAGAAACTTTAAGATGTGTAGACTGCAACCTGTCTGGCTGGGGAATTCTGAGGACTGAAGTCCACACACCTTGAAGTTCCTGAGGTTGAAAAACATTGGCCTAGTAGTGCAAGAACCTGCTCCATTCCCACCAGCCCTCCTGACTTTGCACCCAAGCCTTTTTTTTCCTTCTGAAGATCCTTAAGGTAAGCTTCCTCCCCTTGCTTGATTTAATCTACCCTCTTTCTAAAGTGACCTGCTGAAGGCTGAATTCCTCCTCGGTTGGCCCAAGCTCTCCCTCCCCACCCCCTGCTTTCTGGTTTCAGCATCTCCTTGATGGCAAAGTATGCTTTTTCCTAACACCAGAGCAGAAGCCACGATTTTGTCGCGCCTCCCCCTTCAAATCCATTTTGGGAGATTCGGGGAGTGGGGAGCCGAGAAGCAGCAGCAGCAGAAGAAGAAAATGAGAGTTTTCTTGTGGTGGCATTTCGAGTCACTGTCACGGGATTGTCCACTGCCTGCCTTTCTTCCTTCCTTCCTTCCCTCCCCCCTCCCGCCACCAGGCGACTCAATCAGCAATTGCTGAGCCTCATCCCTTGGCTTCTCTTCCCCACAAACCCCCGTGGAGGCTGGTGCTGGTGGGAGAGAAGGAAGAGGCCACGGGACCCCCGCCACCCCCCTCCCCCAACACCGTTCTTCCAGGTGTGCAATTGTAACTTGGCCCTTTCCACTGGCCTTTCAACATCCCCTTCACCTCCTACAAGCAGGTACCTGGTTCACCTGCGCTGCTCCCCTCTCTCCTTGCCCATCCATCAGCCTGGCTGTTGTGAGGTGAAAGGGTCCCTTTTCTTTTTCTCAAGATCTTTTCTCTCCCCTCTCCCCCACCCTCCGCAAACCCGGACATCCCTTACCTTGCAGTGATGAGCGCGCCAAGGACACTCTTCCCCCACTGTGCAATGTCTCTGGTGACGGATCCTAAATCCTTGAAATCCGGTGGGGGCCCGGCTGGCTGTAGAGAAGGGGAAATATTCCATTCAGTAGTCCCACCCTGATCTTGGAAGATATGGGGGCTCGGGGGGAGGGGGCTGGGGGGAGGGGAACAACCGCGATCGCGGACGCGGGGTGGTGGTGGGGGGAGAAGCCTACGGCTACTTGTAGGCAAGAGACCAGAAGGGACTCGGGGTGGAGGCAGATCGGCTGCTTCTGCGAACCCAGGGACGGCGGCTTCCTCCCGTCGTTTCGGGATATAAAAATGGAATGTGCTCTTCTCGCTTCATTGGGTAATGCAGAGAAGTGTGTTCGGGAAGAGCGCTCTGTGTGCGTGTGTGCGTGTAAGGAAGGAAAGGTGGGTGGGTGGGGGGAGTAGGAAATCTCCTGCTACTGCCCGCTGGAGATCCACTGGGTCACAAAGCCTGACGTGTTTTGGCTAACTTTGAAAGAGAGGAAGCAACGGAACCGCGTCGGGAGTTTGGAGAAATCCGTAGAGGCAGGGAGGTGTCACGCGGATTCGGATAGGCCGGGCCTCTCTTGACCCAATTGCCAGAGACTTCATCGTTTCCTCCTTAGATTTCAATCCTGCCTTTTCTCAGGGGGTTCCGGGTAGCTTCCATAACGACCTCTTCTTTTACCTTACCTGCACAACAACCTTGAGAGGTAGTAGGTTGGACCAAGAGAGTTTTGTGTCTCCCTGGTACTTGTGCAGTTGTAACTATATCTTCACATCTTCTCACTGCTAGGTGGTGAGAAAGGATAAGGGTGTCAAAAAGGATATTCTGCTACACTGAGGAATTGAAAAGTGTGCTGATTTTAGGGGTTAAAAAATTGTCTCTTTTTAAAAGCAACTGGCTGCATAGGAATGAGAGTGCCATAGCAGACTGGTGGCATCTGTGCAAATAATAAAACATAGTTTGCTTTCTTACCTGTGGTTGGCTAATTAAATCACAACTGGTGTAGTGAATCATAGAATTGGAAGGAACATGTCAGTTACACCCCTCTGCTATGTCCAAGAAAACCAATTCAACAATGAGAGAGATGACAGAAGAGCCTCTACTTAAAAATCTCCAGAGACGAAGAACCCTTCATTTCAGTTGGTAAGGCACTCTGCTTTTGTAGTAGATCTTACAATAAAGAAGTTTTCCCTTATATTAAGTGAACTACAGATAACTGTAGCTTGTGAATAGAATAGAATAGAATTTTTTACTGGCCAAGTGTAATTGGACACACAAGGAATTTGTCTTGGTGCAAATGCTCTCAGTGTACATAAAAGAAAAGATATATTTATCAAGACTCAAGAATCATAAGGTACAACACTTAATAATAGTCATAGGGTACAATAAACAATCAAATCATACTAGGAAACAGTCAATATAAATCGTAAGGATACAAGCAACAGAGTTACAGTCATACAGTCACAAGTGGGAGGGGATGGGTGATAAGGAGTGATGGGAAGATTAACAGTAATAGCAGTGAAGGCTTTGTAATAGTTGAACAGTGTTGAGGGAATTATTTGTTTAGCAGAGTGATGCAGTGGTGGAATTCAATTTTTTTTACTACTGGTTCTGTGCGCATGGCTTGGAGGGCGTGGCAGGGGAAGGATACTGTAAAATCTCCAGTCAGAGGTGGTATTTGCCGGTTCTTGCAACTACTCAAAGTTTCCACTACTGGTTCTCCAGAACTGGTCAGAACCTGCTGAATACCACCTTTGGAGTGATGGCTTTTGGGGGGAAAACTGTCCTTTTGTCTAGTTCTGGTGTGCAGTGCTCTATAGCGTCGTTTTGAGGGTAGGAGTTGAAACAGTTTATGTCCGGGATGTGAGGGGTCTGCAAATATTTTCACAATCCTCTTGTGCACATTATTTCTGATCTTATTTCTTTTCCTGTTTCCGACCACCTTTCCCAGGAATTTTATTTACTTGAACAGATCATCCTAAGTTCCTTCAAATGAATTGAAAGTGAATATACATGTCCCAGGATAATGTTGCAGGACCCAAATCTGGGTTTGTCACTGGGACCAGAGGTTAACTCTTCTGAGCTTTCGGACTCTGAAAGCCGTTTAGTCTGAAAATGGGGTGGAGGGGCACGCACAGTGACCATCCCGTCTCCACACACCCCTCAGCCAACCCGCATAGCAGAAGTACAATGCCAATCCGGCCCTTGAAGTGTAGGAAGTTAGCACCCACCCCTCTTCTAGAAAAATGAAATATCCTAGAAAATATTAAAAAGGCAGAATATTTCCCCTAAGAAGAGTAGAAACTCAGAAGCAGAAACTCACCTCAGAAGCAGAAGCTCACCCCCACCTTTGTTAATGGGTGGGCCATTAAGGCCTAGGCCAGAGTATTCTACATAATAAAGGTCTCTGCCCATCTCACCTGGCCTGGGAAGATGGCATCAGCCAGCACGAGGTGAAGCCATGTGGTCCAGCCAAAGCTTACAAAGTTAGCTAAAACCCCGCCCCTGGGAGTCTGACAGCCAATGGGATACATTTCTTGCACAAGAACAGGAAACACTAAGGTGGGGCCCAACAGAGGTTATAAAACTAAGGGTGTCTTAGCATCTCAGCTCTTTTTTCACCTTCCTTTCTTCACCCAAGGCACGTGATCCTGTCCACCATTAAACCATCTTTCCAAGCAGTCACCATGTTTCCAGTGTCTTTCTTCCCCACTTGTAACTGAACCCAAAAGGATATTTCTTCCAACAGAAAAAATCCAGCTTGACACCCCTGCTATAGGAGATACATTTAAGTCCCTGTGTCATATTTACCAGTGATCCCCAACCTTTTTTACGCCGCGGCCCGGTACTGGCATCAGCTGGGCGCCGCGGCCCGGTACCGGCATCAGCTGGGCGCCGCCATCTTTTTTTGATGAAAACGTGCTTCCGGTGAGCTTTCTACCCGGAAAAGCTCACCGGAAGCACTTTTTCATAAAAAAAAGATGGCGGCGCCCAGCAAGCCAGCGGCCCGGTAGGACCTGTTCCGCGGACCGGTACCGGTCCGCGGACCGGTGGTTGGGGACCCCTGATATTTACCACTTTCCTCAGTATTCTTCAGGAAATGAGAGTACCAGAAGTATACATATACAGTAGGTAGACCTTGACGTACAACCATAACTGGGACCAAAATTTCCATTGCTAAGCAGTTTTTATGTGAGTGAAACCTGATTCTATGATTTTTTTTGCCACGGTCGTTAAGTGAGTCACTGCAGTTAAGTAAATCCAGCTTCCCCCATTCACTTTGCTCGTCAGAAGCCAGCTGGGAAGGTTGCAAAGGCTAGTCATAAGACCCTGGGAATGCTGCATCGTAAATTCATGCTGGTTGCCAAGCACCCAGATTTTGATCATGTGACAGTAGGGATGCTGCAATGGTGGCAAGTACAAGGATCTGTTGTAAGCCACTTTTTTCAGTGTCATAACGTTGAGTGGTTACTAAATGAACGTCAGTTGAGGATTATCTGTAGTTATAGTCTCATCAAAATGCAATAGGAATAAGGAATTTGTGCATCTTTGATCAAGTACTTCTAATGTAACTTTTCTTAACCTTGGCAACTGTGATGACCCAGGGCATGACACAAAAATAACAGTCACAAAAGTAAAACAAATTCCCTCTAATGCCTCCAACTTGGGCCCCAGTGTCCAGTTATCCTCGGCTGGAGATCAAACTCTTCCAAAAAGAGTCTACGAAGGGAAGAAATGCAGTCTGAACCCAAAGTAAAGATAATTAGAAATAAAAAAACAACGCAAACCACACTGAAGTAATTAACACGGCAGGCCAGGATGATAAATTGCAGACTTCCAAAAGATAACACAGAACCTGCAGTTGGGAGGATGCCAAAACCCAGATAAGCCTTGACAAAGATAATGCACACTTTGCTTCCAGCAAGGTGCTGTGTGCAAACGCCCCTCTTATATCCTGTTCTCCCAGCTGCAACTAATGAAAGGAATCAGGGCCTTTTTCTCTCCTGTAAGCCATGTTGCTCCCTTCTCCGTTCCTCCCTGCATGCCTAGGATGAAGAGGGGATGGCCCTGGGTCTTCCTCTGAATGCCCAGCTGGACTGTGCCCTTCCCCCGTTTTTTCCACAGCCATCGGAGCCACACTCCCACTCCCTGTCAGCTGCTCCATCTCCCCCTCAGAATCAGACTCCAACAAGAGCATGACAGCAACTTTAAGATGAGTGGTCTTCAATTTGCTGGCTGGGGAATTCTGGCCCATCTTCAACTTGCCAAGTTTGAAAAACACTGCGCTAAAGCTAGCATGGACATCCAAAAATGTTGCCCCTGGTCCTGCGGGAAGATCTCTTCTGGTTTCCTAAAAATCTTCAATAATGAGACAGAAGCAAGAAGCGAAGTCCAAATCCAACCTGACCTTATTTCCACCCAGCAACTATCTTGCTTTGAGCCCCGCTCCCTCCAGGCATCTTTCCCTTCAAATTATGACATCCAATAGGAAACTGCTCAGTGTTTTTTGTAATTAGAGATGTAAGAAACTCTGCCCTCCTTAGGGATGAAAAACTTGTAACCTTCCAGTTATGGCAGAAGTACACTTTGCATCCTTGTTAGTGAAGAATGCTGGGAATTGCAGATCAGCTGAGCTGGAGGATCATGATTTTCCTGTCCTTAAGATTTTTCATCCCTCTGTCCAAAATTGTCTTCTTTTTATGCATTTAGCAGAATCGTAGCAAATGTTTGGAAGAGCCTCAACTGATTAAACAAATGCAAGCCACATCTCAAGTGTGCCTCAGGGCATCCCATTTTTAATCAAAAACTGCACTATTAATTTCATATGCTGATGCTGAATTCAAACAATATTTAGTAAAATAATTTTTCTCTTTGTTGTTCACTTTCATCTCCCTAAATGTCCAAGAAATTTTAGATTGGTGTATTGGCACATTACATCTAACCATTTTCTGGATCATGCAATACATATATATATATGGCCATAAATAATCAAATGGACTGGGATTGCATTATTGCTAAATCAAGGATATAGAAAAATAAACAAAGTTAACAAGAATCACTGTTAATGTGTCTAAATGTGTTCCCTTTC